CTTCAGCCTGGCTTGCTTGCGTTCTTGCCGCGAAGGAAAGCGTGGTGGCGGCTGTTCGCCCTTCCTCTCGTCACGCCCCCTGCTCGCGGTGCGCCCCGCCTCCGCCGGCCTCCGGCCTCCAGCCGCGCGGGATGCTCCGCCGGGTCTTCACGGCTCCCAGACCCAGCGCGCAAGACCAGGCGAGGGGACGACGGCAAGCCGCGGCCGCCTGCGCTCATTGGCTGCCGACCTTGGGCGACGGCGCGTGACGTCACGACGACACGCACAGTGGGCGGGCAGAGGGCCGGGTGGGAGGGGCGATGGAGGAATTCCCGGGTGGTGCTGGCCTGACACCTGCCAGCGGCCTCGTGGGTGGAGTTCAAGAGCCTGCATCTGCTGGATCGTGGAACAGGCAAGAAGCTAAAGGACTAGCGGAAGGAAAAGCAGAACAACAGGTTAAGCTTTGATGAATTTATCCGGAATTTTTATTTCACAAAGTCTAGAAGGAAGGTCTTGAATTCTCCCTAATTTAAGTTTTAATTCATTTCCTAAAGGAATTTCTCCTTTTACTTACATAAGGGGAGAGGAACACTACCATCTTGTCCGTGTCTAGGGACCTGTGAAAAGCCTAATCGGGCCCTGACTGGCGATGGCAGCAGAGGAAAAGGCAGGAACCTAACTCTAAGGTACCTGCCTCTGGAAGACCACCAAAGTGCACAGGGGCCCCAATGCCTCACCATTGGCGAGGCACTAGCATCTAATCGTGGCCCTTAACAATGCACTGGCATCTAGGTGGGAAATAGAGAAGTATATTCACTATGTTTTCTTATTTTCTGTATTCTTGACTCTCTGCCACCCAACGCTTCTCCTAGGAAGAGGCTGCCCCGCCCAGGGCTAGCTAACAGCTAGAGAGAGCAACAAATTCCCAGAACCTTTCATATGCAAACTGACCAAGCCTGAAGTCACAGCCACCTCCTTCCTCAGGCTCTTACCCACCAAGCCAATATTCCCCTCCCTAATCAACCCAGGGCCAGGCACCAATTTGAGACAGTCTCTGCCCCAAATCCTGCTAAAATCATTCCAACTAGCCAATCCTAACACATGTTCTCTGCTTTGCCTTTCCTTTCCTGTGGAAACCACTATACAGGCTTGTACCCATGCTTTACCCTCACTCTTTCTGCCTCATGGCTGATCCTAGTGCTTCCAGTGTGGCCCTGCATGTGTGGCATCCCCTCCTCTTGGGTACTTGTAAGAAGCGAACTCTCTTGTCAAGGGCAGCTGTCTCCTGATCTCATGGTCTCACCATGCCTGAATAAATAATAAAACCTACATTTTAAAACTGGGAGTTATTATCAGGCCCCTCCAAATGCCCTAAAAGTATGATTAATGTTATTATCAGGCCCCTCCAAATGCCCTAAAAGTGTGATTTTATAACATAGTCACTGATATCATTTCCCCTTTCCTGCTATCTTTGTTTTTAAATCAGTAAGATGGGAACTAAATTACCAAAAGAGCTGAGCTCTGATCAGCAATAAGTTGCCCAGACTTCATTTATTCTTAAGATTCTAACCATTGATTTCCTAAAGAAAAGTAACTTATCCAAGAATTTACCAGTCAATCTGCATCTTAAGTGTGAAAAATTCTAAAGTGTTCTGAACACAAGAGAAATGTAATTCAGGATCCAAGCCTTCAAGAAGCTTGTGGTACAAAACTAGAAAACATTAAACAATTAAGAAGATTTAGTGTTAAAATAGTATGGATTAAGTAAACTGTAATGGGAATTAAGAAAAGGGAGAATGGTTTGAAAGTGGCATAGAGCTAAATTTCTAAGGATGACTTTAATTGAAGAGGCAAAGATGTGGGAATACTCTTTGTAAATCAATTCAAATTGGTTTAAGACAAAAGGGGGAGGGGAGGATTTGTTTCTTATTACTGAAAAGATCATGCATAGGTAAATCTAGAAGCTCAAATTATATCATCAGGAATCTGTCAGTTGCTATTTCTAGTGGTGCTAAAAGAGCACTATTCTTTTCTAAAAGTCCTCAAAGCCCCTGAGGACTCTCATTGGACCAGCTTGAGTTGTGTGCTCTTCATTGAACTGATTGTTGTGACTAAGAGGCTGTGGTTCTCTGATTAGCCAGGTTTAGGTCACATGTCCATCCAAACCATGGACTGAGATAAGGGTTTAATGGTCTCCAAAGGAAATTTTGAGTGATGTTACCAAAAGGTAAAGTCTATTCTGGACAGGGAAGCACAACAATTTTTGGTGTAGTTTGGGAGTAATAACATAAGCCAGGTGGAGAGGAAGGCAAAAACTGAACTGATTATAACCCATATGAAGAAGTAGGTGGGGGGTGGGGTTGGGGGGGGGCATTTTACTAATTCAGGTAGTATAAAATTATTAGAACCTTTAAAAATTAGAAAAGTTTGGGTGAATCACTAAGCCAAGGATATTCATTTTAATTCTGAAGCAGCAGTGTGATATGATAAAAGTAGTATTATAGAATGCTTAATCAGACAAAAGCCAGAGGATAAACTGTTGTCAGGAAGATCAGATGAGGAGGTTGTTCAAATAATTCTAAAATAGTGTGATAAAGGTTTATGCTAGACAGTAATAGTGAAAGGAAGAGTTTAAGGTAAATCCAGATGGTATTTTCTAAGGAAGAAAAAACAGAGTTGAATATAGGGGATAACTGAAGAGAAGAATCAAAAGAGATGACAGCCTTAGCCAGATTATCAGCCTGCTGACTGAAGGGTCCTGGATCAAGGGCACCTACCCAGGTTGCCAGGCTCGATCCCCAGTAGGGGGTTTGCAGGGGCAGTCAATCTGATTCTCTCTCATCACTGATGTTTCTATTTCTCCCTCTCGCTTCCTTTCTGAATCAACAACAACAAAAGAGATGACAAAGGTTGTATCCAAAATTACAAAGAAATATATAAGGAGACTGGGTTTCTCCTTCCACAATACCCCTATCCTAGAAGCCTGCTCTTTTATCCTATGACTTCCATCACTAGGCTAGATAAAGACTACTACAGATTCTAAATACTGAAGAATTATGGTACCTCACCTCCCTCATCATATATGATCCCAAGTAAGACTATTAAATTGTGAATAAGCGTGAGAAGTCCAGCAGTCATGATTTGTCATATGATGCTAGTGTGATGCTTCTTCTAATGTTAACATCTTGCATAATCATAGTACAATGGTCAAAATTAAGAAGTTGGTAGAGTAGCATTAACTAAGCTACAGAGTTTATATGCATTTCACAGGTTTTCCTACTAATGTTCTATTGTTTCAAAAGTCAATCTAAGATCTGGCATTCTATTTAGTCATCACCTCCCTTCATTTTATGTGTCTGCCTGGGATATCTCTTCAGTCTTTCTTTTTCTTTCATAATCTTAACACTTTGGAAAAATATTGTGACCATTTTTTTTTCATATGATGCTACTCAGCTGGGCTTGGCTGGTGTCTTCTCTTGATTAGAATACCACAGAAATGATGTGTCCTTATGTTAGAGGATATGTAAAGTCAAATAAATGTTTTTAATCAAGGGAATGGCATGAAACTATTTACTCTTTGGAAAGATAACTCTGACAGCTAGAACTGTAGTAAAGGAAGGCTGTCAAAGTCACCAATGAAGAAGCTGTTGTAATAGCTAGGCAGAGGATGAAGGTAGTCTGAACAAAGGCTGTGGCTGCAGGAATGGGGATGAAAGTCTGAATATGAGATTTCTGAAGTAGAATTAACAAGATTTGGGGGCTGTTTCCCTGAGTGAGATGAGAAGAGAGAGGAATTGAGGATAATTATTAGAATACTAGAGGCCCGTTGCACAAAGAGATTTGTGCAATAGGCCTTCATTCCCCTGGCTGCCGGCACCGGTTTTCCTCCGGCACTCGGGACCCAGGCCTTTGCTCCAACTGCAGCAGAGAAGCCAAGCCTCTTCAGTCTTCAGTCATCTTCAGTCTTCAGTCTTCACTCCGTGCCTGCATATGCAAATTAGCTGCCATCTTTGTTAGGTTAATTTGCATACTCATCCTGATTGGCTGGTGGGTGTAGCAGAGTGACACCAATTTGCATGTTTCTCTTTTATTAGTGTAGACTAGAGGCCCGGTGCACAAAAATTTGTGCACTTGGGGGGGTCCCTCAGCCCGGCCTATGCCCTCTTGCAGTCTGGGACCCCTCGGAGGATATCCACCTGCTGGCTTAGGCCCGCTCCCTGGGGGATTAGGCCCAAGCTGGCAGTCAGACATCCCTCTGGCAGCCCGGCAGCCTCGGGGGATGTCCACTTACCAGCAGGGAGCAGACCTAAGCTGCAGTCGGACATCCTTAGTGCTCCTGAGGAGGCAGGAGAGACTCCCGCCACCACCGCTGTGTTGGCAGCCATCAGCCTGGCTTGTGGCTGAGCAGAGGTCCCCCATGTGGGAGCGCATTGACCACTAGGGGACAGCTCCTGCATTGAGCATCTGACCCCTGGTGGTCAGTGTGTGTCATAGTGACCAGTCATT